TATATCTAAAGCAGCGGTTCTCAACCTGTGGGTCTCGACCCCTTTGGGGGTTGAACAACCCTTTCACAGCGGTCGCCTAAGACCATCAGAAAACACATATATAATTACATATTGTTTACAGTAGCAAAATTACAGTTATGAAGTAGCAACGAAAATAATTTTATGGTTGGGGGTCACCACAACATGAGGAACTGTATTAAAGGGTTGCGGCATTAGGAAGGTTGAGAACCACTGCTCTAGGGCATCACTGTCCAATAGATGAATAATTCAAACTACAGATGTAATTCAGAATTTCCTAGTAGCTGTATTAGCAAGGCCACGTGCAGTAGCCACATACTTGCACTCAGTACTCCTTTAAGCTCAGTAGCCCCATGTGGACAGTGGCGAACATCCTGGATGGTGCAAAGGGCTGGGCTGGGAGAGGTGGATACGCATGGGTCCCCAGGGTCCCAGGTAAAGGCTGGGTAGTGTGTGGTCATGGCGCCCAGCTGCTAGGTGGTACTGGGCTTTCTGCTCCCATCCTAAGAGCTTCCCTGGATCAGGAGGGGTGCTGGGGTGGGGGCGAAGGAGCACTAGCAGTGGGAGTAGCAGTATTGGACATGGGGGTCAGAGCAGGGTTGGGGGCACAGCAGGGTGGGTGGACACAGCAAGGGGGAACAGCAGAGTGGAGGGATACAGCAGGGTCAGGGGCAGTTCAAGGTGGGGACACAGCAGGGTGGGGGATACAGCAGGCAATGAGTTGCCCTCCCCACTTCTGTTCACAGAGACTTCAACAACAACGGGACCTCCCAGTGGTGAGTTGATGTCCTCTCTCTCTCTCTCTCTCTCTCTCTCTCTCTCTCAAGTTCTCAGAGAGGCCTCTCCCTCCCTTCACACAGAGCAGCGGGGCCAGCAGAGAAGGCAGAGGGGCCCAGGTGGGAGGGGGCTTTGTGGCAGGTGGGCCCCTCTTCCCTCGTATCAAGGGGGCCTCATTAGGTAGATGCCCCCCTTTTTTATGATCCCACCACCCCAAGGTGGGATCTATAGACTCGGGCCGGAGCCTCAGGTCCTACAGGCCATTCCACAGGCTTCACCTTAAAGCATTCAGCCTCAGGCTCTTCCCCAGGGGCATGTGTCCACCCTCAGGCCTAGAAGGACAGGAACCAGTGCCCCCTCCGCCCCCTGGTGTGGGGTTAGGCCCTGCATCGGGCTGCATTTGACATTTGAGCTCTTTGCTGGCACAGGGAGCAGGGTTTGGGATAGCTGCTTTTATTAAGAGTGTTCTTTTTAATGTTAACAGAAATATAATTAGATAGTAATTAGCACTTTTGGAGTTCCTACTGTTAGGTACAAAGGATTTGTATATAACGTTTTTAATTTTTATCACAAGTTTGAAATGTGGGCATTGTTACTCCACCTTACAGATTAGGAGACTAAGGTTCAGAGAGGTTAAGAAACTTGCCCAAGGCTGCCCAGAGACGGTCCATGTGGCCTGCCTTGCTCCCTTGTTACTGCGCCCACAGCCCCTGTCTTGTCCACTAAGAGACCTGAGATGTACACGTAGCCTTTCCCAGGGGCCTCCTTCACCCTCGGACGTGACCAGGGGGAAGGTCCCCGGCGGGTCAGGAGCTGGGAGAGGAGCCATGGCCGCTGAGCTGCAGGCGTGGGGGGGTGGCGGGGGGCTGGGCTGGGCTTCCATCAGGAAGGCTGGCAGAGGCACACCTCAGGCCACATTTGAGCAGGAGGTGAAGAAAGGGAGGCCACACAGTGGGAGGAAGACGAAAGGCCTGAGGGGCCCCGGAGCCTGCATGAGATGCCAGGGCTTCTCCCTCCTGCCTGCAGCCCTGAGCACGCGACCAAGGTGGCGCTGAAGGTGGTGACGCCCATCATCATCTCAGTCTTCGTGCTGGCCCTGTACCTGCACGCCCAGCAGGTGGAGTCCACCGCCCGCCTCGACTTCCTCTGGAAACTGCAGGTGGGTGGCCTTGGGGCTAGAACTGGGGTCGGGGAGGCACCCAGGCCTCACGGCACTTTGTGAGTGAGCAGCCCATCACCGGGGCTCGGCTGGGTCTTGGTGCTGCACTGACCAGGTGTCCTGCTCAGGCCTTGTCCCAACAGACCAGCACCCCACGTTCCAGCTGGTCTGCTCCCCGCTCTCTGGGGCCAGGAGGCAAGACTCCAGAACTTATTCCAGCCAAACCCACTCTGGCCAGTGCTGGGCTTGGGTGGGCCCAGGAGATTTGCTCTTGTCACAAATACTGTGAGCATTTAGAGTCATGTCGACAGAACAAATCTGTGGTGGAGCAGCAAGGAGGGTGGGTGAGAAGAGTGGCAGGAGGAGAGCAGGGGCACGCAGCCCTGGGTCCCGGAGTCTTAGTGCAGGAGCCTGGCCAGGTGCAGAAGGAAGAGGACTTAATGTGACCAGAACTGAGCCTGAAGATTCTCCAGGGGGGATGAATGGAAGGGCATCAAAGACCATCCAAGGAAGCTCGGCCAAGTGGTTGTGCCCTGGCCCTGGTGAAAGGTGTCTCAGAAAGGGCAGCAGTGGGTGCTGGGTGCCCAAGTGGGGCTGAAGTCCACCAGTGTCCTGCCTCCAGGCTTCGTGCCCTGCACCCTGAGGGACCCACCTGCGGGAGGGGATGCTGCTGGGCCGCTCACAGGGCGCTCCAGGTGCAGGCAGCGGCTCTGGTTACTTGGCAGACCGCCTGCAAAGGTCCAGGAGAGGGCGCCCAAGCGCACTCACAGCGCACAAGCCTGGTGTGTGCAGGTGGCCTCCGTCCCGTTATTCCAGCCCAGCTCTTGCAGGACATGGCATAGCTCTGTCTCTTTGTCTCCCCTGGCCTGGGTCCTATGTCCTGACCACTTCTCCAGCTCATCTGCAACTGGTTAGACCTCCTCCGTCCTCATTAACATTGAGATTGAAGTCTTCTGGCCGGGGCAGGAGCCCTGGAATTTCACTGGGTGCTGAGGGAAGATGGAGTATCTGGTTGCCCTGCTGCTGGGTGTTTTGCCCTACCCCCCACCTGGTGTTTTCCACTGAGGTCTCCAGTGAGGACACCCTGAAGTTGGGGGAACAAGTTTTGCATGGGAATGGCCCTCAGAAGCCCTGGATGGGGAGGGGGACCTCAGGGATAAGGCTGCAGTGGCTCTTCTGTGCTGCAGAGAGGCGCAGGGGGCCTCCACGGGCTCCTGGTCTGAGGCCCGCCCTCATGCCCAATTCCCATTCCCTCAGCCCTGGAATGCAGCCCAGCCCTGCAGCGGTGCTGAGCATCTGGGGAAGTTTGGGGACCAGGCTGTTCTCAATCACCCCTCAGCTCGTCTGTAGCCCCAGAGACACGTGTCATTAATGTTTCCCTCCACACAGGAGAGACAAAAGCAGACAACAGATTGATTCCACTTATTCTCCCTGATCTCCTCCGGCCCCACAGCTATGCTCCTCCCACCCTTTTTATCTTTTTGGGGGGAGTAAGTTTTAAAAAATAATTTAAAACCTACAGAAAACTTACAAGAACGGCATAGAGAACTCCACAGTCCCTTCAACAGATTCCCTAACCATTTTTTCTGCATTTTCTTAATTGCCCCACCCCCCACCCTTCTGACATGATGCCCCATCACCCCCAAATTTTCCGATGTCCACCTTCAAAAAGCAAAGACACTCCATCGTCACCCCACCCGACCTCCCAGTCAGGAAATCAACACTGGAGCACCGTCATCCCACCCACAAAGCCCATTTGAATTTTGCCAGGGGTCCCAGTTCTTTTAATTTTTTTCCTAATGAGGATACATCCATCATTGAATCCATAGAAAGAGGAAGTGCCGGGGTCCAACCCCAGTGGTCCAGGGGTTCCCAAAGGTATGGACTGAGTCAGCGAAGAATGAAGGACATGGAGACAGCGTTCAGATGATCAGCATAGCCAGGTTCTCTCTTTATTCTGGGTGGATCTTCCTGTGCCTGGCTGAGGCCACAGAGAGAGATCCATAGGCAAGCTGAGCCTTTATTTTATAGTCAGAGGTAAACAAGGTAGTGGTTACCATAGTTACACTGTTCTTGTGAGTTTCACTTGTTTTGGCAGCACTTGTTGCACCTCCCTCAGCCCATTAGCTTCCCAGATAAGATCTAAGGAGAGTCATAAGGTCAAGCCTAATTGTGCTAAGAGGTTGCCCTCTAAGCTGGGACTTGTTTGTGACTTTGCCAACAGGTCAGTCTGAGGCAAGAGGAAGAGGGAGGGAAGGAGGGAGGGAGGGAAGGAGGGAGGGAGGTAGAGAGAGAAAGAGAGAGAAACATCAATCAGTTCCTCCACACACAGGCCCTGACCAGGCCTTTGGTGCACTGGATGATGCTCCAACCACTGAGTCACATTGGCCAGGGCAGTGGTCCCAGTTCTAACCCAGGATTCTTTGCATTTCGTTCATGTCTTCTCAGTCTTTCCTGGCCTCTCAGTCCTTGCCAGTCTTAAAGAGATCCTTGTGCTGTGACCCTCAGATGTTGACATCTCCCATGTCCAGACTCAGGTCACACCTTCTTGGAGGCAAATCATGGAAGTGACGCTGCTCCTTCTCAGTGCATCACACTGGGGATTCCACTGTGCTGACCTGCCCCCTCCCTGGTGACGTTAACCTTGATCACTACTCAGTGGGCAACTGCCGGATTTCTCCACTGTCAGAATGCCATCTTCTCTTCTGCATTCAGTTAGTGCTTTGTGGAAAGATTCTGACAGTACACCAATGTTCTGATCCTCAGCAAACCTCCACCCACCAGTCTCAGCATCCATCATGCCTCCTGCCCGCCTGGCCGTGATGACACACATCCTTCCTTCCTCCCACATTGTGAACCGGCATCCTGCTTCAAGAAGAGCCTCCTCCCCACTCACTTAGTCACTCATTTATCTGTATCAGCACGGACTCATGGCTTCCTATTCCATTCAGTGGGCTTTACTCTGCTCCTCACATTACTTTAATGCTTGAATTCTCCGGGGCCTGTGAGTGTCCTCAAGTTGGCTTCTGTGTTTTGACACGTCTCCATCATTCTTGGAGCATTTGTTGACTTCCTGGCACAAGCCGATGTCTCGGGCTCATCACGTACTTTCCCTGCTCCAGCCCAGCAGTCAGTGATTTCTTCAGAGGGCCCCAGTTCTCTGTAGTGGAGAATGGTACTTAGAAACCAAGATCGGGGGCTCAGTGCGCTCAGTGTTCTAGCCTCTGTGGACAAAGCTAGGAAATACATGTTAGTGTATATGAACATCTAAATAAAAGTACGTATAGACATATGAATACTGCCCCAGGATCTCTCTGTTGATATTTAAAACCATGAGCGTACACCATTTCTAGTGCAACACCTGAGGCTTCTTTCTGGCCTGCCTTCCTCCAAGCTTAAAAACACCATCTCTGCACGTGAGAGACCCAGCGCCCATTGTCTAGCAGAGATTTACTCCTTTGCTCCATGGAGCCAACCTCCCAACGCCTTCAGCCCCCCTCTCTGCCCCACCACACCCCTCCCCTCTTCACCACCTGTGACGTGTATGCTGGGCATGCCACCTGTAGCGCCCATCCTCTGACCCCTGCTTCCTCAGGCACAAGGGCTCTGCACACGGCAGGGAGGGGGGAGAGGAGGTTGGAAGGGAAATGGCTGGATCCCTCCTCCCATTTTGAAAACAATTAAGAAGGCCTGTGCACAGATGTGTGAGTGCCAGCGTGATTGTCTACCCTCCGGGCATGTCAGCCTCTCTTCCTGGAAGCTCTCCTACAGGCTCCTGAAGCTTCCATGTCCCTCCATCTCCCATCCTGCTCTGGGGCTTTGGGGAGGGGGACATCAAGTCAATACCAATAGCCAAATACCTGAATGCAGGTTTTGGGGGTGGGTGGGGGACAGTCTGTTGGCTCACCCCCATCTCGCCCAGCAGCCATTTTGCTGTTGGATCTGTGGTCAGGGTGGGCGAGTAGGTGCTGACAGGGAAGCGGGGAGGCCTGGGGTCCATAGCTTCCCTGAACCCCTGCACCAGGAACGCCCTTATCCGCAAGGCCCCCTCCTGGCAGAACCACTGGTCTCAGTTCTCGGGGGACAGCCCACCCTTGTCCTCCTCCCACAGCACTGATCCCTGAGCCTTCCTGCCGGCCAGAGTCCGACCCTAAAAGCATCTGGCTGTGTTGGCAGCTGCCCAGCATGCCTTGGGTGGAGTCCCCCAGATGGCGGAAGCACCTGGCCAGGGCCTGGGGGTTTGGCCTCTGATCCCATCTGTAGCCATGTTCCCAGTGTCCCCGCACCCAGCCTTCACTTCCACTCTGCCACCGGCTGGGCTGGAGTGCCACTGAGTCCCCAGGATGTGGTTGACGCTCAACCATTGAGCCACACTGGCCGGGCTCACACTCTCTTTTCTAAGTCATGCATGGCTTGGCCCACCCTCTGCCGGTCCTCTGCTGCAGGCCACGGAGGAGAAGGAGGAGATGGAGGAGCTGCAGGCCTACAACCGGCGGCTGCTGCACAACATTCTGCCCAAGGACGTGGCCGCCCACTTCCTGGCCCGGGAGCGGCGCAACGATGAGCTCTACTACCAGTCGTGCGAGTGCGTGGCCGTCATGTTCGCCTCCATCGCCAACTTCTCCGAGTTCTACGTGGAGCTGGAGGCCAACAACGAGGGTGTCGAGTGCCTGCGGCTGCTCAACGAGATCATTGCCGACTTCGATGAGGTGCGGGGCGGGCGAGGGACACTGGGGTCCCTGGAGGGGAGGGAGTTAGGAGACGTGGTGCCCCCTCTCGCCTCACCAGATAGGACCAGTGACATCAGGAGCCCTGGCCATGGTGCCCACTGGGGCCCTGCCCAGTTGCCTTGACAATTATTCTCATCCTTCACCCTTCCTCTCATGCCACTGAGGGCTGGACGGGGCCTCAGGCTGGGACCCAGCCTTTGAGAGTCTCAGGAAGGAACAATTCCCAGGCTGAGGGAGGAGGCAGGACAAGATGCAAAGCCCTGAACATCGACAGCAGAAACAAAGCCATTTCGTTATTTGTGTATCACACCCTTGTTGAGTTAGGACAGGGGTCCTCAAACTTTTTAAACAGGGGGCCAGTTCACTGCCCCTCAGACTGTTGGAGGGCCGGACTATAGGTTAAAAAAAAAACTATGAACAAATTCCTATGCACACTGCACACATCTTATTCTGAAGTAAAAAAACAAAACAGGAACAAATACAATATTTGTATTTGCATGTGGCCCGCGGGCCATAGTTTGAGGACCCCTGAGCTAGGACGTGCCAGGCACTGGGGATACTATGCCCATTGGGGCAGCCTTGACTCTGGGAGCTCACCATGCAGTGAGTGTGAGGGACAATCCCAGTGCCATCCTGGGCTCAGGAAAGAGAGGGATGAGGGAGCTGGGGCCAGCAGCGTGGGAAACAGCCCATGGACTCCTGGGCAGTGAGGTGACTGGAGTCGGCCGAGATGGGCACAGTCCCCTACAGCAGCGAGCGCTGGAGGAGGCCTGTCTGTCAGGGAGCACCGGGTCCTGGCACTGAGCTGGAGCTAGAGACAGGCCCTCTGTGCGAACTGGGGAGACACAAGGGGCCACGCTGCCGCACTTCCCTGTGACCTCAGTGCCCCGGACTTGGGGTGACCCGGTTTGGCCTTCTTCAGATCATCAGCGAGGATCGGTTTAAGCAGCTGGAAAAGATCAAGACCATCGGCAGCACCTACATGGCTGCCTCCGGCCTTAATGATTCCACCTACGACAAGGTGGGCAAGACGCACATCAAAGCTCTGGCCGACTTCGCCATGAAGCTGATGGACCAAATGAAGTACATCAACGAGCACTCCTTCAACAACTTCCAGATGAAGATTGGTGAGCTGCCTGGGAGGCCTGAGGGCTCAGAGGGGCTCCTTCCCCCCCCCCCATTCTGCATTAGTAACCCAGGCCCAAGCATAGGCTGGCATCACAGTGCGTCCCTGCCCAAGGGGAGTGGGGGGACCCACCACCCAGAGCACACTCCTCCCGGAGCCTAGAGGTGCCGTCTCTGCATGCTGCTGTGCGGGTGACATGCCCAGGACACCTCTTTCTGAGTGCCCATCTCACGCCCGCGTTGGGAAGGGCGGGTGGACCCAGTGTGGGCCTGCCCGAAAGGAGTGCTGCCCCAGGGCCTGGCAGCCCCATGTATTTCAAGTCAGGCTGGCTTAATAGCAGCATTTTATTTAAAAGTGTTCCAGATTCATTCAGTACAAATGAAAAGCAGCGAAATGAAGTACTCATCCATTTTAAATACAAAATGAACAAACATAGTGCAAGTCATTTGATTTGCAAATTTACAAAAACATTGAACATAACAGTCCTACCCAACTGTTAACAAAATGAACATAGTGAAATATTTTAAAAACTAAACATGAAAGGAATCATATAAAACTGACAATGAAATGATCGTTTCAACATCTTAAAACACAAAACAGGTGGTCAGCAGGGTTATTGCTGGGTTCCCGGGGTTCCTGTGTGAGCACCAGCTCCTCAGGACTGGGCGAGCTTTTCTAAGCTGCTTCAGCGGCCAGAGAAACAGCGAGCCTGTCAGGTGTCCCTGGGTCCTCTGCCCACCGCCTCGGCCCGTGGTGGGTGGCTTCGAGGGCCTTGCAGACGTTGGGGTGATGCCCAGGGTGGAGCTGGCTCTGAAGAGACGGGTGCCGAGCAGAGGCCCTGAGTCTGTTTCACAGTCAGGACTCTGTTCTCCCTGTGCAGAAACTCTTTGAACCAAACCCTATATAATTTTCTCGGCCTTTAATTTTGTTGTTTTATTACTCCAACCTTGCGCTCTGACAAGTCTCGGCTCTGCAGAAGAGCTGACAGAACAGCACAGTGAAAACTCACGCACACGGACACAGGCAGGCAGGCCCCACCTCCTGTCGCTGCTGGCTGATGGCAGATAACCACTCTGGATGCGCTGCTCCATAAAGTTCAAGGTGTTTCTGCAGCTCGTTTTGTTCTTAGCATATATCTCACCAAGGACATCCCGGCAGCCCGTGTGCGTGGTTTCGCAGTAGGGGTTTTGCTTTGCTGAGTGCTGCGGCCCTCCTCTTCTTCCTTCTTCCTTTATTTCAGTTACGGTTCACACTCAGAATTGTTTTGTACTGGTTTCAGGTGTACAGCACAGTGGTTAGGCAACCATCGGCCTTACAAAGCGGTCCCCCCGATATTTCAAGCACCCACCTGGCACCATACACAGTGATTACAATATCATTGACTAGATCCCCTGTGCTGTACTTTGCATCCCCATGACTATTTTGTAACTACCCCTCTGCACTTCTCATTCCTCTACCTTTCCCACCCAGCCCCCCACACCCCCTGCTGCCCTCCCCTTCTTGAGGGTGGTGGGGTGAAGGGTAGTGTCTGAAAGAGCAGACCTTTCCACTTGTCAGACTTCTAATGCATTATCAACTCCCTGGTACGTCTCAAGGCATAAATGATTCCAATTTCGATTTTTTTAAAAAAACGAACACTAATTCACCAACATAAATACTGGTATCTCAGTCCTCAAAATTCACACATGAAACCAAAATATTCGATTGCTAACCATCAATATTGTGATTATTGATGGCCTTGGAGACATTTTGTGGGGACTGGGCTTTGTCTGAACAAACGGCTGTGGTAGCCGGGGGCCCTGCACCCGGGGGCCCTGCACCCGGGAAGTTGGCCAGGGTCTCACTTTGCACTGGTTGCTAGAAGGCCCAGACCAGAGCCAGCGGGAGGGGGGTGGGGGGGGGTCTGCCTCACTTGACGTGCAGCCTGCATTTCTGTGCTAACTTCACCCCCGGTTTCATGAAATTGCTATTCTTATTTTCCTTGCACCCCATCTTTTCCACCTACATTGATTTATATTTTTGTAAGCTGCCTCCCCTCCTTCCTCGGGCCAGGACTGGAGACTGGGTAACAGGTAGACAAGTAGCTGGGCAGGCAACTGGGAACCTCGGGCGGCAAAGAAATGGGCAAGTTCTGGTATGTTGGTCTAAACCTGTGGTCGGCAAACCACGGCTCTCGAGCCACATGCGGCTCTTTGGCCCCTTGAGTGTGGCTCTTCCACAAAATACCATGTGTAGGCGCGCTCGTACAGTGCAATTGAAACTTCATGGCGCATGCGCAGAAGTCAGTATTTTGTGGAAGAGCCGGTATTTTGTGGAAGAGCCACACTGAAGGGGCCAAAGAGCCGCATGTGGCTTGCGAGCCGCGGTTTGCCAAGCCACAGTTTGCCGACCACTGGTCTAAACTGCAGGTGAAAACTTACTAATGCCACTGAGAGAGGGACGATTAGGGAAAGGCGATTAGGTGATGCATGAGATCACTAGAAGCCTTGCAGAGGGCAGTGCTGGTGATGGCCATGCAGGAGCTGAGCATTGCCTGGGTGGTGAGGACACAGGTGCAGTGGGTGTGTGAACAGGTTCCCGTAACCTTGAGTTACAGCATTTGAGAGAAGCAAAGGGTTAAGCACGGCCTTGGGGCTGGAGGACCCTGGGTATCTTCAGACGGAGAGTCCAAGGGAGAAGCCGGGCGCGGGGAGAGGAATGGGAGTGAGGGCCCGCGCTGGTCTGAGTCCTGATGAGCGTGCTGACTTCTGTCCCCTGCAGGGCTCAATATTGGCCCCGTGGTGGCTGGGGTGATCGGGGCCCGCAAGCCTCAGTACGACATCTGGGGCAATACGGTGAACGTGGCCAGCCGCATGGACAGCACCGGTGTGCCAGACCGCATCCAGGTGAGTGCAGAAGCGTCCACCATCTGCCACCCCAACATCAGGGCCTCTGTCTGGCGCTTAGTGGTCTTTGGGGCAGGCCGCCCACAATTTCCAGTCAGAATTTCATTTGAGAGTGATTGGGCGGTTGGCACTGATGCTTTGAAGCTTGGAGAACATGACTGGGTACAAGCTGTCAGCACCTTGGACAGATCCCCAGGCCCGTGCGGAGTCCTCTGCTGCCACAGAAGGAATGAGAGGGCATAGCCTGGCCAGGGACCCGACGTTTCCTCCTCCCACGGCCTTTGTAAGCCTCTGTGTGCCTCCC